ATAAAAATCTCACTGCACACTGCACACTGCACACTGCACGCACGCATGTGGCCAGCATGCCACCCCGAGATATAGCCAGGAGAACTGACACACTGTGAGCGCAGGTGTTCACAGTGCTTGCTTCAGAATCAGCCATGACCGGGAGACAACCCAAGTGTACTTCAACAGGTGAACGGACAAACGGTGGTATATCCATTCAGTGAAACTCAACTGTGACATTTGAAAGGAATGACCCGCGTCATAGAGGACACAGAGAGGAGTGCACAGACACTGCGCCCTCACACTTCAGCCCCCTCCCGTGACCTGTCTGTAGGGAGACAGCTGCTCAGAGGTGGTCGGAATCCAGGATGACAGTGGCAATTGGGAAAGAACCACTACCCTGAATTAAATGTTCTAATTCTTGACATTGGAGAGGACAGGAGGGCGACCTTCTTGAAAACTCATCCAACAGTCCCAGAAAATAGGGTGCATTTGGCTCCATGTAAATTTCATCACAACAAAACTGATTTGACTGAAAGCAAGTGGACAACTGGTCAGGGGAAAGGAGGGGAGTTTGGGGCAGGACAGGCAGCAGATGGGGCACGGGTGGGGTGAGGAGGCCAGCATCTCAGGGAAGGAGGCAGAGACCCTCAGGAACAGCAGGGCTCCCTCTGTGGGTTCTGGCCATGGACACCGGCCCCAGGAAGAGGGAGGGGCTCACGACAGGGAGGCAGCACCTCGTGCACGTGTTAGACCCAAGGAGGGCTGATCACTGTCTGATCCTTTACAGACTGGGGACGAGGGTCCACTTCCTGAGACCGTTCTGGCCACTGCCCCAGTGGGTGCTCTTGCGGGGGTATTTGCTCCCGTGCACATGGTCCCCTGCGTGCTGCCAATGTCATCCTGCCGTCAGAGCAGGCTGTTGTGCTCAGCCCTTCGGTACACTGAGCCCCACAGGCCTGCTCAGGTCACAGGGGAGCCCTGCCCTGAGACTCGGGTCCTTCACCCCCCAGAGGAGCCCCAAGCTGCCAGAGGAGGGCCCTGAGGCCCACGCAGACAGGCGACCTAGTGGGGCGGCCACCAGCTCCTTCATACTTTGTTTCCACACCTAACCCTTGACTCCTGCGAGCTGGGCAGCTCCCCTCCCCCACCAGGGCTCTGCTAACAGTGGGACCTGCAGGCGGACGGAGAGCGCCCGGGACACAGGCTGCGGAGCCCGGCCAGCTCCTGACGGCAGCTCTGAGGGTGCCTTTGCCCAGTGCGAAGGTGGGGGACATGGTAGGGGACCTGAAAACCCCAGACCAGGCTGTGCCTGCAGGTGACCAGGCTGGGGGAGACCCGGGGCAGGGTCGCCGCACACTGACATGCCTGGGCCAGAGCCAGAGTCCTGCCCGGTCACCTGCCCTCCGGGGTCCCTCACTCCTTTCCACAGTCCCTGCGGCTGGGGGAGACCAGTGTCAGGGAAGCCAGCAGATGAGGGAAGCGATCAGGTGATGGAGTGAGTTTATTGGGGTGCCCGAGGAGGGGCTGACAGAGGAACTGGGAGGGAAGGCAGGTGACCCAGGGGCAGGGGGCGACGCCTCGAAGGAGGCAGGAGTCCAGGGAAGCATCAGGGTCGGAGGCTCCTGGGAGCAAAGGGCAGGTCAGGACACTGGAGACCCAGGGACCCGTCCTGGGTAGGGACAGCCATGTAACCCAGGTGAGGACCAGACTGCGGGGTGGTTGGGAGGATCAGAGTCTCAGAGTAAAACCTGAGCCCAGCTGGCCCTGGGGGACATGTCCGGTCAGCAGCAGGATTTCTGAGCCCAGACAGGAACACAGCAGGTGGGGCAGGAGCACACAGGGCGGCAGAGCAGGGACACGCAGGAGGAGGGTCTGCAGCAGGATGAGGGGCAGGGGGTGGGCAGGCTGTGGACCCAGAGCAGACGGGCACACATCACATGGACTTGCAGCACACGGATGTGCCACAGACGGGCCTGCAGCACACGGGCACACAGCAGGCCTGCTGGCAGCACGAGGATGTGCAGGAGCTGCTGCAGGCTGACTGGCAGGGGCTGGACCCACAGGTGGCCTGGCAGCAGGTGCTGGACACACAGCTCACTGGGGTGCAGATGAGAGTCTGGGTGGGGACCACAGCACAGCAACTAGGGGCACAGCAGGTGGGCTGGCAGCAGCTGGGGACACAGCAAGTGGGCTGGCAGCAACTAGGGGCACAGCAGGTGGACGGGCCACAGGTGGGGACACAGCAGGTGGGCTGGCAGCAGCTGGGGACACAGCAGGAGGGCTGGCAGCAACTAGGGGCACAGCAGGTTGGCTGGCAGCAGCTGGGGACACAGCAGGTGGGCTGGCAGCAACTAGGGGCACAGCAGGTGGACGGGCCACAGGTGGGGACACAGCAGGTGGGCTGGCAGCAGCTGGGGACACAGCAGGAGGGCTGGCAGCAACTAGGGGCACAGCAGGTTGGCTGGCAGCAACTAGGGGCACAGCAGGTGGACGGGCCACAGGTGGGGGCACAGCAGGTGGGCTGGCAGCAGCTGGGGGTGCAGCAGGAGGGCTCACAGCAGCTCTCTGGACAGTCGTCCACCTGCCAGGAGGACCTGGTGCAAGAGTCACTAGAACCGGGCAGGCAGGCGCGGCTGCCATAGCTCAGGTCGCTGGCGCAGACTGACCGGGTGGACGTGGCCATGGTGGGCAGTGGCTGGAGGTGAGCTGGAGGAGGTGTGAGTGTGTGTGTGTGTGTGTGTGAGTGTGTGTGTGTGTGTATGTGTGTGTTGTGCTGGGCTGTTGCCTTTATACCCTCCTGGCTCTGTGTCCCAGGCCCTCCAGCCCCTATTTCCGCCTCCCAGAGGCATCAGGGATGTTTGTTTCCCTGGGATGCTGTCCAGCTCGTAAATGTTCGTGATTGTCCAGCTCGGGAGCCTGTCCCCAATGCCCCCGGGGAATAGGAGTTGGGGCAGGTCTGAGCCTGGGTCCTCCCACGAGCGAGAGTGGGGTGGGTGGGTGGGGTCCTGCCTGAGGCCATCCTGGGTGTGCCAGGACATCGCCCACTCAGCCAGGGTGTCCTCAGTGCCGGGTCACTAGGCCTGTTGCAGGCAGCCGCATGCACACACAGATGCACACACGGGCACACACAGTCCATTCTCATTATCCTCAGTAGGTCTGTTCTATAAAGTTGCCACAGACACTGAATTAGCAAACACTGGACCACGGCTCCGGGAAATGCAGGGTCGGGTCCTGCGGCCTCTGGGACAGTATTTCCGACTCCGTCAGTACGGGCCCTTGTTTGGTGTGTGTATCTGTTTATTTGTTTATTTATTTGTAACTTATCTGTATTGTTGACTGTATTACAGATGTTCCTCCTTTTTCCTCGATTGACACTCTCCTCATCGCTTCTATCCCCCTCCTGCCTTTCCCCACGCTGTTGTCTGTGTCCGTTGGTTATGCACACATGCGTATAAGTTCTCTGGATTATTTCTTCCCACCCCCCTACCCCCCTTTCCTTTGAGGTTTGTCAGTTTAACAACCGATTTGTACTTCTTTTTTTTTTTTATCCTCACCCGAGGACATTTTTCCATTTTTTGTACAGACAGAGTGGGAGTGAGAGGGAGTGAGAAACATCGATGTGAAAGGGACATATCGAGTGGCTGCCACCCGCACGACCAACCAGGGCCGGGGACAAACTGGAACCAAGGCACATGCCCTTAGCGGGAACCGAACCCGGGTCTCTCCGGACCGCAGGCGGGCGCTCTAACCGCTGAGCCTAACCGGCCAGGGCGATTTGTACTTCTTAATCCCTCCACCTTTTTCACCCATTCCCCCAACCCCCCTCCTCTGGAAACGAAGAAAATGTTCCCTGTATCCAGGAGAATGTTTCTGTTCTGCTTGTTCATTTTGTTGTAGATTCAATTGTCGATACATATGTATTCATTGCCATTTTGTTCGTTCATATATTTGATCTTTTTCTTCAAGAAGACCCTTCATCATTTCATATAATAACGGTTTGGTGGTGATGAACTCCTTTAGCTACTTCTTGTCTGGGAAAGTCTTTATATGGTCATCGATTCTACATGACAGCTTTGCAGGATAGAGTAATCTTGGTTGTAGGTTCTCGCTTTTCATCACTCTGAATATTTCTTGCCACTCCCTCTGGCCTGCAAAGTTTCTTTTGAGAAATCAGCCTTATGGTAACTTCCTTGTAGGTAACTAGCTGCTTTTCTCTTGCTGCTTTTAAGATTCTCTCTTTGTCTTGAACCTTTTGCATTTTGATGATGATGTGTCTTGGTGTGGGCCTCTTGGGGTTCATCTTGTTTGGGACTGTCTGTGCTTCCTGGACTTGTATGTCTGTTTCCTTCACCAAGTTAGGGAACTTTTCTGTCATTATTGTTTCCAATAGGTTTTCAATTTATTGTTCTCTCTCTTCTCCTTCTGGCACCCCCAAGATGCGAATGTTGGCATGCTTGAAGTTGTCCCAGAGGCTCCTTACACTATCGTCATGTTTTTGGATTCTTTTTTCTTTTTGCTGTTCTGATTGGGTGTTTTTTGCTTTTTTATATTCCAAATAGATGGTTTGCTTCTTGGCTTTACCTACTCTACTTTTGAATCTGTGTAAATTATTCTTTATTTCAGTTAGCGCCCCCTTCATTTCTGACTGGTTCTTTTTTATGCTCTTGAGGCCCTCACTAAGTTTGCTGAGGTTCTCATTAAGTTCATTGAACATCCTTATAAGCAGTGTTTTGAACTCAGCATCTGTTAGGATGCTTATCTCCATTTTGCTTAGTTCTTTACCTAAAGTTTGGTTCTGTTCTTTCACTTGGGACCTGTTTCTTTGTCTCCTCATTTTGGCTGCCTCCCTGTGTTTATTTCTATGTATTAGGTAGAGTTGCTATGTCTCCTACGCTTCGTAGGGTGGCCTGTTGTTGTAGGTGTCCTGTAGGGTCCAGTGGCACAGCCTCCCTGCTCACCGAGCTGGGCCCTCGAGGTGCACCCCTTGTGTGGATTTTATAGCCTTCTGTTGTAATTGAGTCTTGATTGGAGTCTCGATGTGGCTTCTTCTTTAATTCCGTACTTGTAGGACTTCCGTTCAGCTTGATGTCAGGCGGTTCTGAATGATGGTTGTTCTGTAGATTAGTTGTAACTTTGATGTGGTTGTGGGAGGACACGATACCATGTTTACTTACCCCGCCATGTTGACCGGAAGTCTCGATGTGTGTGTCTGGGTAAGGCTTAATGCACGTATGACAGATGTCCTATTTACAATCGATGGCAGCACCTGCACTGTCGCCCTGGCGCCCAGACGCTGTGCCGTGTACTTTCCCCGTGGGGCGCGCCGCAGCCGTCCTGCCCTCAGGACACCAGGCAGCACTTCAGCTCCCTGCTGGGGGCCCTTTTATCCAGCAAAGTCAGGACCATCAAACCCCAAAATGAGGACAATCACGACACTGAGAGACCCTGGGGAGGACAGGTTCCCGACCGAGACTGAAACAACAGGCCGTGGTCCCGGGAGCCTCAGCTGGGAGCGTGCACCTCGGGGACTCAAGTGTTCGGCCACCTGCCAAGTCCACCAAGGACCACCCAAGCACCGCACGTGTTGATTTGGGGGTTACCACTGATGTAGTGAGGAACCCCCGAAGGATGAGGATGAACTGTACGTCTCTCTCTCATCTACCTCCTGGGCATACGTACATACAGATAGTACATTTGTGTGTACATTTTGAAAAGACAAATGTATCATATTTGACCCACTGTGTGTTTGTTAAAGACTGAATCATGCGGAGCTGCTCTCGTCTGACACATAGGACTTCACTTCCTGGTGACAGCGGCCTGGGACTCCAGGATGGCCTGTGGCTTGATTCCTGTTGCTGTCCCCAGAGCTGTGTGCCCCAGGCAATGCACGTGTCTCCCACAGTCTCCGGGGGCTGGTGGTACAGGGTCTCCTGTGGGTCACATCCTGGGGTCTCATCCGGGGGCTCGGCTGGGGAAGCAGTTGCTTTTCGTCAGAATTCGGGTCCTGGCAGGTGGTCCGACTGAGGGCCCCAGTGCCTGGAGGCTGTGGATGGCAGGTGCTCTCGTTTCCTGCCACGCGGCCCTGTCCATGGGCAGCTCACAGGGGACAGCTGGTTCTTCACCGCCAGCTCAGTACAGTCTCCTCCCATGACCAGCGTTACAATCCTACCTAATGTAACCACACACCCCTCTCCTGCTGGTCACCTGTGCCAGACACTGCCTGCACCCCAGGGGGTGTAACCACACACCCGTCTCCTGCCGGTCACCTGTGCCAGACACTGCCTGCACCCCAGGGGGTGTAACCACACACCCCTCTCCTGCTGGTCACCTGTGCCAGACACTGCCTGCACCCCAGGGGGTGTAACCACACACACCGTCTCCTGCCGGTCACCTGTGCCAGACACTGCCTGCACCCCAGGGGGTGTAACCACACACCCCTCTCCTGCTGGTCACCTGTGCCAGACACTGCCTGCACCCCAGGGGGTGTAACCACACACCCCTCTCCTGCCGGTCACCTGTGCCAGACACTGCCTGCACCCCAGGGGGTGTAACCACACACCTCACTCCTGCAGGTCACCTGTGCCAGACACTGCCTGCACCCCAGGGGGTGTAACCACACACCCCTCTCCTGCTGGTCACCTGTGCCAGGGCAGTGCCTGCACCCCAGGGGGTGTAACCACACACCCCTCTCCTGCCGGTCACCTGTGCCAGACACTGCCTGCACCCCAGGGGGTGTAACCACACACCTCACTCCTGCAGGTCACCTGTGCCAGACACTGCCTGCACCCCAGGGGGTGTAACCACACACCCCTCTCCTGCTGGTCACCTGTGCCAGGGCAGTGCCTGCACCCCAGGGCGCCCAGGGAACCAGTTAGAAATGTCCCTCCTGATACCCTCTTTGGCACGGGCTTCTCCAGTTGGCGCTTGGGAAGCCTTGGCACCCAAGAAACACAGTCCCCAGGTGTCCGCAAGACAGGTCCCAGGGCAGCTGCATTGGGAGCCATGGTTCTCTCGTGAAGCCAACACAGACCCAGGACACGCTATTTGCAGACACACAACCTTCCTACCAGGACGTATGAACCAGAGGCAGCTGAGGCCGCATCAACGGAGCGCACAGCACACCAGGAGCTTCATCGCTGAGCAACAGCTCAGGGAGAAAACACAGACCCGCCACTAATGAGAGTTCTCTGAGTCCAAACACACACAAGGAAGAAGACGTGTCCGCATCCTGAGGGGAGAGACAAGCCAGGGGGTATAAAAGCCGACAGCCCAGGAACCTCACACACTCACACTCACTCACTCACTCACTCACACCTCCTCCAGCTCACCTCCAGCCACTACCCACCATGGCCGTGTCCACCCTGTCCGTCTGCTCCAGCGACCTGAGCTATGGCAGCCGCGCCTGTCTGCCCGCTTCCTCTGACTCCGGTACTGTCTCCTCCTGGGAGGTGGACGACTGTCCAGAGAGCTGCTGCCAGCCCTCAGGCTGTGCCCCCAGCTGCTGCCAGCCCACCTACTGTGCCCCCAGCTGCTGCCAGCCCACCTGCTGTGTCCCCAGCTGCTGCCAGCCCTCCTGCTGTGTCCCCAGCTGCTGCCAGCCCTCCTGCTGTGTCCCCAGCTGCTGCCAGCCCACCTGCTGTGCCCCCAGCTGCTGCCAGCCCACCTGCTGTGTCCCCAGCTGCTGCCAGCCCTCCTGCTGTGTCCCCAGCTGCTGCCAGCCCACCTGCTGTGCCCCCAGCTGCTGCCAGCCCACCTGCTGTGCCCCCAGCTGCTGCCAGTCCACCTGCTGTGTCCCCAGCTGCTGTGCCCCAGCCCCCTGCCTGACCCTCATGTACACTCCAGTGAGTTGCATGTCCAGCCCCTGCCAGTCAGCCTGCAGCAGCTCCTGCACACCCTCGTGCTGCCAGCCCTCCTGCTGCACCTCCGCCCCCTGCCAGCAGCCCTGCTGTGTGCCTGTCTGCTGCAAGCCCGTGTGCTGTGTGCCCGCCTGCTCTGGGCCTGCCCCCTGCCCCTCATCCTGCTGCAGACCCTCCTCCTGCATGTCCGTCATCTGCCGCCCCGTGTGCAGGCCTGCCTGCTGCGTGCCCGTCTCCTCCTGCTGTGCCCCCTCCTCCTGCCGGCCCACCTGCTGCCGCCCGGCCTCCTGTGTGTGCCTGGTCTCCCGCCCCGTGTGCTCCCGCCCAGTCTGCTGAGTCCCAGCCTCAGCCCAGACATCCTGCTGCTGAGTGATCTTGTTAAGGGCACCCCAAAACTCAACAGCTCACTGCCATCTGTACCCCCAAGATTCGTTACTGAGAGCTGAGACAGCTGTCAAGTCCCCTTCCTTGGTCCGGGCACCAGGCATCTGTGGTCACCCAGCCACCACTCTGCATTTCTGCCTCTGGGACCAGCTCACCCCTTTCTCCAAGTACTGACTTCCCCCCAATCATCGTGCCCTGCCACCCAGCCCGGGCTGGCAGTGACCCCAGCGAGGCCAGCGGGTCTCCCCCAGGCCTTGGAGCCTGGAGTGGAGAGAGTGAGAAGCCGGACTCTCCAGCCACCCAGTGTGTGGCCCCCGCGCGTCCGCTGCAAGCTGTGTGCGTCGTTCACCTTCCCACACCTCGCCCTCTGTGCGCGGCCCTTCCTCCCAATAAAGTCCTTTCTGATCCATTTACCCAGGATGCATTGCTGTTACTTACAACAAACACCCGACCTGACATGCTCCAGGTGAGGTGGGTCCGGGTTTTCCCTCAGGGCCACCAGGGTCCTGCCCTGCAGTGGTGTCCTGGAAGCCCCCGTCACTCTGGCCACATCTGTGTCCAGAAGATGCACATTCTTTCTGGACACAAAAGCTGAATATTCTCTCTGTGGTGCCAGCCCTGGGGAGGAGCCACCCTCAGGGGTCACTCTGATCCAGAAGGGCCAGTTCAGGAAGGGGTCAGCCCTCGGGTTGCTGGGATGTGTGACGAGAGTCCTCACTGGGCCTAAACCGTCTGTGCAGACACGATGGCTGTGTTGACATCTACTGTCCCACCGAGTCTGGAATTTGGGGTGTTCCAGGTATAGGGGCTGTGTGACCAGGCCCCTGGGCTCTGATCTGACAAGCTTCCGGACAGACACCTCACACAGGCTGTCACTCCTGCTGAGCAGTGCAGCACGTCCTGCACGATCCCCGGGAGGGAAGCGACACCTGATGTCCCCTCCTCCCGGTGGGGTTTTGTCCTGCGCTGATTGAGCTCTGCGTCAAATCCTAAGTATGCAGAAACGGAGGGAGTGTTGCTGACGACCCCCACATTCATCAGAATGAAAAAAGAAATTCAAATCTGATAATAACAAATAGGGCCTTGAGTCAGAAGGTACATTTTACCGTGTAAATCAAACAGGAATAACGTTGACTTTTTTTTCTTTATTCATTTTTAGAGAGAGGAGTAGGGAGAAGGAGAGAGAGAGAAACATTGATGAGATAGAACATCTCCTGGCTGCTTACTGCATGCCCTCCACTGAGGATTTGGCCCACAACCTGGGCATATGCCCTGACCTGGAATTAAACTGGCGACTTTTTTGGTGCATGGGTCTACGCTTAACCACTGAGCCACACCAGCCGGGCAATGTTTTTCTGTTTTAATTTTTTTTAACTCAACTTTATTGTTGAGTGTATTAAAGATGCCCCTCTTTTTTCCCCCATTGACCCTTTCCTCCTGAATCCGGCCTCCCTTTAGCCTGCCCCACACTACTGTCTGTGTCCATTGGTTGTGCATATGTGCATAGAAGTTCTTTGGTTTATCTCATCCCGCCCTCCCTCCCCCCTACCCTTTGAGGTTCATCAGTCTAACAACCAATCTGTACTTCTTAATTCCTTCATCTTTTTCACCCATCCCTCCAGTACCACCCATCTGGCAAGCAACAAATGTTCTCTGTACCTATGAGATAGTTTCTGTTCTGCTTGCTCATTTATTTATAGATTCAATTGTTGATAGATGTATATTAATTGCCATTTTATTGTTCATATTTTTGTTCTCCTTCAAGAAGACCCTTCAACACTTCACTAATACTGGTTTAGTGGAATTTCACTAATACTGGTTTAGTGGAGATGAACTCCTTTAACTTTTTCTTGTCTGGGAAACTCTTGATATGTCCATTGATTCTAAATGACAGCTTTGCAGGATAGAGTAATCTTGGTTGTAGGTTGTTGCTTCTCATCAGTTTGAATATCTCTTGCCACTCCCTTCTGGCCTGCAAAGTTTCTTTTGAAAAATCAGCTGACAGTCTTATGGGAGCTCCTTTGTAGGTTACAAACTGCTTTTCTCTTGCTGCTTTTAAGAATCTCTTTTCGTATTTAACCTTTGGCATTTGGATGATGATGTGTCTTGATGATGATGTGTCTTGGTGTGGACCTCTTCGGGTTCATCTTGTTTGGGACTCTGTGGCTACATGGACTTGTATGTCTGTTTCCTTCACCAAGTTAGGGAAGTTTTCTGTCATTATTGTTTCAAATAGGTTTTCAATTTCTTGTTCTCTCTCTCGTCTCCTTCTGGCACCCCTATGATGCGAATGTTGGCATGCTTGACATTGTCCCAAAGGCTCCTTACACTGCCCTCAGTTTTTTGGGGGGTTTTTTATTCTTTTTTCTTTTTGCTGTTCTGATTGGGTGATTTTTACTTCCTTATATTTCAAATTGATGGTTTGATTCTTGGTTTTACCCACTCTACTATTGATTCCCTGGAAATTATTCTTTATTCCAGTTAGTGCATCTTTTATTTCTGACTGGTCCTTTTGTATGTAGTTGATGTTCTCACTAAGTTCCTTGGAGGTCTCCTTAAGTTCCCTGAAGGTCTCACCAAGTACCTTGAGCAACCTTATAACCAGTGTTTTGAACTCTGCATCTGATTGATTGCTTATCTCCATTTTGTTTAATTCTTTTCCTGGAGTTTTATTCTTTTCTTTCATTTGGGACATGTTTCTTTGTCTTCTCATTTTTACTGCTTCCCTGTGTTTGTTTCTATGTATTAGGTAGAGTTGCTATGTCTCCTAGGCTTTGTAGGGTGGCCTATTATTGTACGTGTCCTGTGGAATCCAGTGGCACAGCTTCCCTGATCACCCCAGCTTGGACCTCAAGGTGCACCCCTAGTGTGGACTGTACACCCTTCTGTTGTAATTGAGTCTTGATTGCCATTGACGCGTCAATGGGAGGGATTTATTCAGGCTGATCAGCTGCAAGGACTGGCCGTGCTCACTGACCACTGGTCTCTGACTACCTTTGAGTATCAGCTGTGTAGGAGCCCACTACAGAAAGCAAGAATTACTTCAGCAGGGCTCTGGTACCCACTGAGTCCACTCATTGTGTAACTTGTGGAGGTGGTTGGGTGGTGGTGTTTTTATGTGGTCTGAAGCTGTCCCCTGGGTGTCCTCTGGCTCTGGGGTAAGATCAGCCACTGCCTGTGTTCTATCCAAGGCCACCTGGCATAAGCTACAAAGTTATCTGCAGGCGGCTGCTTCTTGTGCTGGGTTTGGAGGTGCCCAGGAAAAGGCATGTTGTGAACCAAGACTGGCTGCTTCTAGTGCCAGGCCTGGGGCAACCTAATGAGAGGTATGGGGCTCACTGAGACCAGATGCTGCTTGCTTGAGAGATTTTAGGAAACTCTGAAGCAGGATCCAAGACAGCCCAATCCCATGATAAAGCCTTTGGAAACAGCTTGGGTGGGCCTGAAAGTTGGGGGGGCAGGGCCTCAGGGAATCACCAGGGCGGGGCAAACAGTGAGCCTGGTTGCTTGAGTCCCAGATATGGCGGCCATCCACCTGTCCCAGCGAAGGGCTCACCAAAACAACCTCAGCCTCCGCCAGCACTTCTGTCCAGGAGAAAGCCGCCTCTCCATCCCTCCTCCCAAGGCCAAACAGCTCAGTTCTTCCCTGTATGTTTCTGGAATCCCTCAAGCTGCCTCCCCTCTGAGGTTAATGGGAGTAAGTTCGAGTAAGTCCGTGCACGGGCCCTTTAGGAGGAACTGCCTGGGGCTCCAGCCACAGCCTCTCTCGGCCTCAATTCCTGCTGGTTTTTCCAGTCAGAAGTGATGAGGACTTTTCTTCCTCGCACTGGAACCCTGAGCTGGGCACCTGTGTGGGACGGGGACCCTTCACTCCTCAGGGAGGACCTTCCCAGCTGAGATGTCCTCCTAATTTGTATCCGCCACACACAGAAATGGGACCAGCCGGTCTATGCCTCCACCCTTCCTACCAGTCTTGATGTGGCTGCTTCTTTAATTTTGTAGTTGTAGGACTTCCATTCAGCTCAATGTCCGGGAGTTCTGAATGATGGTTGTATTGTAGTTTTGTGGTAATTTTGATGTGGTTGTGGGGGGTGGCGATACCATGCTTACCTACGCCACCATCCTCCAATGCCGACTTTCTAGATACAATCCAGAGGATGAGAAACACAGCCCCAGACGTGGATGAGAGACTTGCAATGCACACACCCCAGAGGTGTGCTGAGGCCGACTTGCCCAGCTCCAGAGAGCTGACTGTGCACCTCTCTTCCCAGCTTGGTGTTCGGTAGCCTCACATTGGTAGTTATGGTGAGAGCAGTTACACCATGGAAACAGCCAAACACCACCGATCAGGGTGTTTCTGTTTTACAGGCAGCAAGTCGGTAAACATTCCCCAGCATACCACTGCACATATATGCCAAATAACTCATATTCAGAATTCATAGTAATTTTCTACAAATCAAGAAGTACAAATAACCTATTTAGCAACAATAACAAAAAAGCAAAGGGCTTGCAAAGCACCGACCATAAAAGCTATTGAAATGTCCAGTGAGCAGCTGTACTCACCAGGGAATGCAAATTAATGCAACACTACTGGACCGCCACACTCTTTCCACAATGAATAATATCTTCAAAGACCACCAATACCTCATTTTATACAGGATATACAGTGACCGGAATGCATAAAATTCACTAATGGGAATGGGAATTTCTTTAGAAACTTTGGGCAGTACATGCTAAACGAAACACATGCCTATCCTATGACACAGTTATTCTACTGGTGACTGTACCTTGAAGAGAAATGACTAAATATATTCACCAAAAACAAAATGATGAATAATGCTAAAATAAATTTTCATAGCAGCGTTATTAATATTAGCCCAAATGTGGAAATAATCAACATCTCCATCATTGACAAAGAGAATATATCAATAACATGTAGCAGGGTTTGATGT